TGTCCTAAAAGGTGTAAAATTAACTGATAGATGTGTCAGGAACTGCAGTATATATGTGCATAAATGAACGGTGACATTATTGGTGTGTTTTCAGTGATAGCTGCTTTATCAGAAACTGTAAACAAATTTGCTTTATTAACAGTTTATAGTTTAAACCTAAAATGTAAAGGTTGAATTGTGGGATCCTCGTAAATGTGAGTCAAACACTGTATTTAAATCAGGAAACACATGTTTGAAATAATCATAAAACATGTGTTGTTTTAGTCTTTGTTATTTACAGAATAAATTATTCAGTTCTGTAAATCTCTTAAATTACAGTTATTAAAAAATCCAACTGGATTTCCCTGAACTGAAGAATACAAATCGTCATATCTGAATTAAACACAGATGAAAATCAGCCTTTGGTGACCACAAACCTGATTTGAGTTTAGCTGTAAAATGATTTAAATTGTCCAATCAATAAATGTCTTTTATCTCCTTTTGTTTGATGTTATTTTATTTCAAAATATAAATATGTAATTGTGTCACATTTTAAATGAACAAATCTGAAAAGAAAGTATCTCTTTGTACTTTCTAAATTTGATTCCTTTTATTTTACCAAAGGTAAACCAAGTGTGAACAGAGTCTAATGAAGTGTATTCAGTTTTATAATCTTACAAAATATATACATATAAATTCATTTTAACAAATAATCAAGTCGTATCATAGATTAGTCGTTGCTGTGTCTTTGAAACAGTAAAATGTTTTTTTTGTAAAAGTAATTATGTCAATCCTGTTAAATACTCATTAATCTTTCCTCAAACATTTTTGAAAATATGCTTATTAATAATAGCAATAATAATAATTCATTTTCACTCCTTGTGAAACCAGATTTTTATTTTAAATCCAGCCTGAAGCAGCAATGAATCAGCTCATTTCTCCAAATTGTTTCTGAAACTGTCTATTTCATTTTAATAAATTAATTTCTTTAATGTGAAAAACAGGTCTATTTCATACATCCACCTAATATGGATCCACTCATTTTCACATATTGCATGTCAGTGTTTTTTAAACAGATTTCCAGTGTTTCTGGTGTATTTATCAGATTCATTAAAACGGATTTCCTGTCTGTCTGTTTCTATTTGGTTATGAATGAGGACAGAAACAATGTGTGAAAATGGGCTTCAGCAGCAGTGATAAAATCAGAATATATATACCATAATTGGTCTTTATGATCAGTTTCAGAGGTAGTAATAAACGTTGACAGGACTCGGTCCAGCATGCGAACAGTCACAGGAGGGGAAAAAAGCCTCTCTGTGTGGATTCAGATGGGACATCACTGGCCCAAGCCTTCACCGGATCCATCATGCCTCGCCTTACATCAAACATATTTTGCCGACTGGCTGCACAATCAGATCCCTTCTGAGTGGGCTAGAGTCGGGTGGGTGTGTGGGGAGTAAAAAGTGGGCCCTCTCCCACTGGATAATGCCATTATTTCAGCTCCTCTGGCCAGGAATGCCAAATTTCACAGCCCGCTACTCCTCTCTGTGCGTCAATCAAAGCTCTGCGAGGGGCCGAGGCGCCCAGTAGGTCCGCCTCCAGCACCGTGTGATCCGATCCAAGCATTGACCCCTCACAAGCTGATCCATACAGGCTAATTATGGATATTCTTTAAAAGAAAAACTGTCGTAGTGGTTTAAAGCCTGTCCAAGTTGAATTTATTATTCTAATTTCTTTTAATAAAGGTTGCATATCGGCGCCCACTATGGACTACATACTACTTCCGCCTTCCTGTCATAATTATATTAAATCGATTATTTTAAATTTTGGGTCACTCCTGATGGTCTGATCCGAGCTATCCAAGCCGTGAGAATAAGCTGGACTTAGTCCACATTTTAACTAATGAGAAGCTTACTGTCCCCTCAGAGACCAATTACACACCAACCATAATCTCCTTTATAAGCGCACAAAAGGTTTGTGCGCCACGCAGTAAACGCAATAATTAGTGATTAAGTATCCAGATAATGTGCGGGGCAGATGATGAGAAATTTGTGAATGGGAAACATTTAATCAGGTATTCGTTGTACGCTGTGACGATTCCACGCCCGCAGCCAATCCCGTGCGCGCTGAAAATGTCGAACACGCCGAAACCAAACCAATGGCGCATCATATAGCAAAGACTAGCGCAAGAAGAGGCCAATCAGCGGGAGGCATGCAAACGAGGAATTTGCTCCGGCAGGCTCTGAATGTCAAGTAGTCAAAGATGGAGTCCGGGTCTGCGAGGCCGTGTGCTTGTGCATGGAAGACTTGCGATTTTTTCTGACTCTCCGAGCTCCGCAGATTTGATCCGTATCCACCCGCAGCCTCGCAGGATGACGGCTCGAATCCTCAAACTAGCGGAACGCGAAGTGTGGTTTGTGGAGAGGGCTGCTTTTCTTTGTTTTATGGACAACTTTTTCCCTTTTCTCCCCCCCCCCCCCCCCTTTTTTTTTTTGCCCATAACGGATTGTCCCTCCCTGGCTTGATACTATTCATGATTTTGGAGGAGGAGGTTATG